ACTGCAACCTCCACCTCCCAGGTTCAAGCGATTCTCCTGCCTCAGCCTCCCAAGTAGCTGAGAATACAGGTAAGTGCCACTATGGCCATTAATTTTTTTGTGTTTTTACTATAAATGGGGTTGGCCAGGCTAATCTGGAACTCCTGACCTCAAGTGATCCACCCGCCTCAGCCTCCCAAAGTGCTGGGATTATAGGCGTGAGCCACCACACTCAGCAAAAACTTTGTAAATTAAATCTTTTTTTTCTTTACTTAGGTGTAATCTTACAGATGTCTTTCTTTTTTTATTATTATTATTATTATTATACTTTAAGTTCTAGGGTACATGAGCACAACGTGCAGGTTTGTTACATATACATACATGTGCCATGTTGGTGTTCTGCACCCATTAACTCATCATTTACATTAGGTATCTCTCCTAATGCTATCCCTCCCCACTAACCCCTCCCCACAATAGGACCTGGTGTGTGATGCTCCCCTTCCTGTGTCCAGGTGATTTCATTGTTCAATTCCCACCTATGAGTGAGAACATGCGGTGTTTGGTTTTCTGTTCTTGCGATAGTTTGCTGAGAATGATGGTTTCCAGCTGCATCCATGTCCCTACAGATGTCTTTCTATTAAAGAAATGTTTGGTTTAATAACATATTTAAAAATATGGCAACTCTGCAGGGCACAGTGGTGTGCGCCTCTAGTGCCCTGTACTCAGGAGGCTAAGACGGGAGGATTGCTTGAGCCCAGGAGTTTAAGGCCAGCCTGGGCAACATAGTGAGCCCCATCTCCCCCAAAAATCTTTTTTTCAAAAAATGTTTTAAAAGAATCAACAACTTCTTTCTGAAGACCTGCTTTAAAAAGTTATTAGCCAAAGAAATACTACTACTCTAATCTAATAAAGCTTACTGCTTTACCATTCAAAAAGCAAGTGAGGCATCATTTCTCCAAGCAGTTTTTTACACCTAAATTGCCAGCTACCTCTTCATTTCCTAAAGCCTTAACACCTTAAGACCCTATCTCAAACCATAACAGAAGTGTCCTAACATTCCTCATGGCTTTACTGATACTGTCTTCACTTTCAGTTTCTGATTCCAAACATAATAACATCTATCTGAAAGCATACATGGTAAAGGAGCTCAGATACACAGTTTTATATTCATCTTTTAGAGAATTCAAAAATCAGTGCTGTGAAAAAATGTTTTAGAACAGAGACCTAAGACTGGAAATTTACTATTACAATAAAAAGAAAATCATGTCCACTTTGTAAAGTGAGAATTGCAGGGAAGAGGACAGCAAAATTAGACAAATAGGGAGTAGAGGACACACACTGAAGTAGAGATAGTAGAAAGCAAGAGGTAGAAACATGTTCCATCACATGGTAAAAGTAATACATTTTTTTCTTTCTTTTTTTTTTTTTTTTTTGAGACAGAGTTTTGCTCTTGTCACCCAGGCTGGAGTGCAATGGCACAATCTTGGCTCACTGTAATCTCTGCCTCCCAGGTTCAAGTGATTTTCCTGCCTCAGCCTTCCGAGCAGCTGGAATTATAGGCACCTGCTACCACACCTAGCTAATTTTTGAACTTTTAGTAGAGACCAGGTTTCACCATGTTGGCCAGGCTGGTCTCGAACTCCTGACCTCAGGTGACACACCAGCCTCAGCCTCCCAAAGTGCTGAGATTAAAGGTGAGCCACCGCACCCAGCTGATACATATTTTGAAGGTGGAAAAGGGTCAGAAGAAAAATGACTTGACTATACATAATGCCTCCCAGAGAACAAACATAACCACAAAAAGGGCACTGAAATATATACTAACACCCGTGATATAGCTGGAAAGCTCAAAAACTAAAGTAAGTGGCGCAGAGAAATAATCATCAGTTTAAAGGATCAGAGAAGGGGCCGCAGAGGCAGGAACTACATTTCAACTCTACTCCTTCTTCTCAAATAAAAAAGAGCTGTTCTTTTCCTGACCACTCATGAAGTTTTACTGTTATTGTTGCTGTTTTTTGAGACGTAGTCTCGCTCTTTTGCCAGGCTGGAGTGCAGTGGCACAATCTCGGCTCACTGCAACCTCTGCCTCCCAGGTTCAAGTGATTCTCCTGCCTCAGCCTCCCAAGTAGCTGGGACTACAGGCACGTGTCACCACGCCCAGCTAATTTTTGTATTTTTAGTAGAGATGGGGTTTCACCATGCTGTTCAGGATGGTCTCGATCTTCTAACCTCGTGATCCGCCCACCTCAGCCTCCCAAAGTGCTGGGATTACAGGTGTCAGCCACCGCTCCCAGCCCACTCATCAAGTTTTTATACCATATGTATAAAAAAGAGAATGTGAGATCTTGGCTTTCCAAAATGAAAATAGCAGATTAAAGGTATACAGCATACCAGTAAAGATAATTATCCAACCAGTAATTTATTCAGAGACTTATGGTAAGAAAATATCATAGAACGTTAGTTTATATAAAGATATAAAAATGTATGTGCATGCATATTTAAACTACTATACAAAATCAAGAATACCTGTAAAAACCTTCAGTAGCAAGACCACTGTTTTGCCTCTAGAGGGCGAACCTGGTCTTCTGAAAACTTCTAGACAAGGGAAGTTACTTTCAGACTTTACCAAAAAAAACAAAGGAGCTAAAATTTAAGATGTCACAATAGCAGAGGTTCCCAACCTTTCTTGGTCAATGCCTTTAGTGTCTCTAATCTTTTTCACAGTAACTCTTAAGCCAAAAGAAATACCTAATGATTCTGCTTAATAAGTAGCCATGTCGAAACAATTTAATAAGGATGTGTATCTTAACATTTAGTAACCGCTAAAAAAAAAATACACATAAATTGAAAAAAGAAATATGTTTTCTTTCATTCTTTTTCTTTTTTTTTTTTTTTTTTTTGAGATGGAGTCTTGCTCTGGTGCAGTGGCATGATCTTGGCTCACTGCAACCTCCACCTTCCAGGTTCAAGCGAGTCTCCTGTCTCACCCCCTGAGGAGCTGGGACTATAAGCATGCACCACCATACCTGGTTAATTTTTTGTATTTTTGGTAGAGACAGGGTTTCACCATGTTGGCCAGGCTGCTCTTGAACTCCTGACCTCAAATGATTCGCCCACTTCTGCCTTCCAAAGTTCTGGGATTATAGGCATGAGCCACTACACCCAGCCTCATTCTTAAATAACCACAATTAATTACCAATTTGGGCATGTGTGGCTTTGTGCATTGGATACAATTTCTCAAACCTTAAGAGCAGATTAGACATCACCCTCATTTCCACTCCCACGCTGACTTTTGTATAGTATCTGGTTTTTATCACAGCAACCTCAGAAAAAACAGATTCACAAAGATATGATGTCACAGAAAAGTATGTAGTAGCACTTAATGTTGGAACTGTGTACTGCTTCAAATTAACAGTCTGCACCATATCCAACTGATGTGGAATATCACTGAGTTTGCCTGAAAAAATTTAAATATCCCACAGTACCCCACTGTGTTAAGTGCAGCACACCAGAGTGTCTGAGCACATGGTTTGGGGATCACAGCACACAGTTTTAAGTACCAATAGATAAACTATTCACTATTTTAATCACTTGTGAAGAAAATTAACTATAAGCCAGGTGTGGTGGCACATACCTGTAGTCCCAGCTTCTCAGGAAGCTGAGGCAGGAGCATCATCATTTAAGCCCAAGAGTTTGAGGGCAGCCTGGGCGACATAGCAATACCAAGTCTCTTGAAAAAAGAAATTAAGTTAGTTCACAGGCAGAGGAGGAGGCACATGGTCTAAGTGCTGACTAGCTACATAGTTCAGGCAAATCCTTCAAAAGGGAAAAGAAGGGGCTGCTTAGACGGCTCTCTCAGCAACTTCCGTTTGTCTTATGCTTCTCTCAGGGACAAACACGCAATCATCTAGTGCAGTGCATGTACATTCTATGGGGGTGAACACCTTGGTTCTGTTTAAACAGCTAGTGCTTTTGACAGCTGTGCCAGGAAGGGTTAGGACCAACTACAAAATAATACAGGTTCTAAAAACATAGTGTTTCCCTAACTTTCTGTTTTTCCTGAGGAAAAAAATAAATCTTTTATTCAAATGCAAAAAGAAGAAAAAAGAACTACAATAATGCTTTTAAAGATCTAAAATTTTTTTCTCATATTACTTGGAAAACCAGTTTTTCTTCTGAGCAATAAAAGGAACACTATTAAATCCTTAAAGGAAAGTATCTCTTCCAATTTGAATGATGATTATTGCCTTCATGTGATTGTCTTTATAAATGCTAGCTGTGTTAAATCTGGTAAACTGCAATTTGGAAGGATAAAAATAGGAAATGTATTATATGTCATCTTCTGAGCAATAACTTCTCTGAACTTTAAAGCACTGCAGATTTGATCCAGTCTCACTGCTTTCCTTTCTCACTAATCTAGTACTGAAGAGCCAAAGTTCTGAAGTCAAATAAGATCAGAAAGTCTTAAGAATGCAAGAATACAGATGTTAATAGAGATATCAGAAGAAATAGCTTCCAAATTACTAGAAACAGATTGTGTACCAACTTTTCTCATTTACAAAGTCCTTGGTTTAGAGAGGACACCAGAAAAGTGACAAAGGAAAGAGTTCAACCTCATAATCTACTCAGTTTTTGGTTTTTAATATTTCATCAGTTCACAACAACCAATATTCAGAACAACTGTGCCACTGGCAAATGCTACCAACTTCAACTGGAAGTCAAACAGTATGTGGTGAGAGTGATTAGCTAAGTTTTTAAAAAATCTATTCAAGGAATAACTGGTTTAAAAAAAAGTCGATATTCTATTCCTTTGAAGAATTTTCACAATTACAAAAGATAACAGGAAATATGTGATCTGTTTTCCTAAAAAATTTAGCAGGTCCCTATAAATACTTATAATCCCAAAAGTCCATATCTAGAAAAATAAGAATAAAAATGGAATATGGTTAGTTATCAAAAAAAAAGAAGAAGAAGAATGCTTAAAAAGCTAGGATAAACTACATGGCTGTGTCTGTACTTACCTGCTGAATGATTCTGGATGTTTTCTGAAGATTCTCTCTAGGAGGGACTTTACCAAATAATTTCCAACCAGGAGCACTATGGACAACTGATTTGAGTTCCTTTGTCCTTTTTGGAAAAAGGTTTCTGAAACACAGAAAAGTTACATGAATTGTGTTTTTTTAACCAGAGAGCTATTTAACAGTAATTTTATAATAAGTTTGTTCCCAAGGCAAAAACAAAAATACTTTTAAATAAAACTATTTCTACTACTTACATCACTATTACTTAGAATAATAAGGCTCAATTAAGAATATGTGGCTTAATACCTAATGAATGCAGGGCTTAAAACCTAGATGACGGGTTGACAGGTACAGCAAACCACCATGGCACATGTATACCTATGTAACAAACCTGCACATTCTGCACATGTGTCCCAGAACTTAAAATAAAATAAAGGCTATCTGGCTTATATAGAGGTATTAGAAGAATCATCAACAGAAATAATAAAAAGATAAACAAATTGGAAGGAAAACGACAGCCATAAATAAGACATAAACATTTGTCCAAATCAGCTACAAAGTATACTAGAATTGACTGTACATGTGCTTAACAATAACAGCCAAAATTCTGAAAACAAAAACATTTAAAAGAAACTATATAACAGTTAAAGGATTAAGTAATACAATATTTGGATAAATATTATTTACAGTAATAATTTGTTATTTATTATAAAATTATAACTACTAATCCCCTATTGCTATAATATATACATTTAACCTGTTTTTCCTAGGCCAGCTATGTACAAGAAAGCTTATTACAAAAGAATCAATATATAACCAAGGAAGAAAGTATCTCTCACTGAAAAATCTAAAAAAAAACAAAAAAACAAAAAAAACAAAAAAAAAAACCAGGCCAGGTGCAGTGGCTTACACCTGTAATCCCAGCACTTTGGGAGGCAGAGGCGGGCAGATCATGAGGTCAGCAGTTCAAGACTAGCCTGGCCAACATGGTGAAACCCCGTCTCTACTAAAAATACAAAAATTAGCCGGGCGTGGTGGTGGGCGCCTGTAATCCCAGCTACTCGGGAAGCTGAGGCAGAAGAATCGCTTGAACCCTGGAGGCGGAGGTTGCAGTGAGCTGAGACCACCTCATTGCACTCTGCGTCAATAAGCACCCTGCAGAGGTATTAAGGATTTTACCTATTATATCCATGTCCTAACCAACCAAATTAAGTACCTATTTTTTTATGTAAGCAGGGATGATACTCAAAATATGTACCCGTCAAAACAACATGACCAGGGCCCACGAACCAATTAGAAAGGTACTGATGAATTCAACTCAATATAAACCCTTTGCATAAGCTATAAATGAACAGTAAGAAAATTTCTAATTCACACAAACAATTAATTACAAACAGTTCCAAATTGGTTGAAGTCCCAAATAATTAGATTTATCTATACTCAAAATGCCGTATCAATATATATTAACAGTGCAGATTAGTGATAATAGAAAATAACTTTTTAGCGAAAAATGTTAAGGGACTCCTACAAAAGAATGCAGGATAATCAATAAAGAAAAGAAATTGCCAGGCATAGTGGCTCATGCCTGTAATCCCAACACTGGCAGGCCAAAGCAAAAGGATCACTTGAGCCCAGGAGTTTGAGAACAACCTAGGCAATGTAGTGAGACCCTGTCTCTACAAAAAATAAAAATAAAAATAAATAGCCAGGATGGTGGTGCACACCTTGTAGTCCCTGCTACTTGGGAGGCTGAGGTGGGACAATCACTTGGGCCCAGGAGTTAAGGATGCAGTGAGCTGTGATACTGCCACTGTACTGCAGCCTGGGCAACAGATCAAGACTCTGCCTCCAAAAAAAAAAAAAAGAAATAAAAAGAAAAGAAACACTCTTATTTCCTCAGGTGTATAACAGAAATAAACATATGACACTAGAATAATTGCTACTTTAAGATACTCTGGAGGTTTCACCTCAGAGACCATGTATAGTAACTTAATTCTCTACTTCATAAGATCACGAAATAGCTGAAAGTTTTCAATAATGAATATGCTGAGGACTAGGAATACTTCTAAGAAAAAAAGTTCAAGCGTCAAAGGATGGTCTATTAATTTAAACAATGTTTGATACATTGTGTACCACTTATCAAGAAAACACTTTGTAGCTGATTTAAACAAATGTTTACATCTTATTTATGGCTATCATTTTCCTTCCAATTTGTTTATCTTTTTATTATTTCTGTTGATGATTCTTCTTATACCTCTTAACTCCAAATTCACCTTTATGCTCTGGGACAACAGAAAAAATTCCTTTAACCATTTCTCCTTTAAAACAAACATGAAATTGTTAAGCTTTCTGGGTAGAGGGCACCAAAGGGACACTGAAGGAGAAAGGGGCTCTCCTGTGGTTTCCAGCTGCTGCAGAGTGGATCAGGGGTAGAGGTGTGAGGACATCCAGTAAAACTCTGCTTAGCTAGATGCCCAGACTGCAGCCCCTCAGCAAACTTGCAGCCTTGCTGAACCTGCACCCTCAACCTGAAGATGGTGTCCGTGCAGCCTGCTCAACATAAAAACTGACCACCAAAGGCTTCTTGCCAGCATCAGTGTGCTAATTTCCTCTGCAAGCCCCACACAGGCCAGACAGTTCTCATCAAGTCATACTCCCTCTACAATTCCTATGTGACCTGCCTGCACCCTAAAGGTTTCCTATCTACCTACACTAATAAACATGGGAAAAAATCTTTGTCACTATGGTTTAAGAAAAGAATTCTTGGATATGACACCAAAAGCATGATCTATAAAATAAAAAGTTGATGAACTGGGCTTCATTAAATTTAAAACATTTGAACTTCAAAAGACATCATGGATGCAAAATGACAGAATAGGAAGATCTAGGGGTCAGTCTCCCCACCAAAGTAAAAGTTGAGCTAGAAAGAATAACTGGAGCGGGGCACGGTGGCTCACATCTGTAATCTTAGCACTTTGGGAGGCCGAGGCGGGTGGATCACCTGAAGTCAGGAGTTCGAGACCAGCCTGGGCAACATGGTGAAACCCTGTCTCTAGTAAAAATACAAAAAATTAGCCGGGCATGGTGGTGCACACCTGTAATCCCAGCTACTCAGGAGGCTGAGGCAGGAGAATTGCTTGAACCCAGGAGGCGGAGGTTGCAGTGAGCTGAGATGGTGCCACAGTACTCTAGCCTGGGAGACAGAGCAAGACTCTGTCTCAAAAAAGCTAAGAGTTTAAAAAAAGACTAAGAGTAAATGGAATCAAGTACTTTAGTAGAATTCTAGGAACTGACCAAACCCTTTTAACAACCAGGGGAGTGCTTGATGAAGGAAGAGGCTACTGATCTTTCGTAAGTATGAATAAGCAGCATACATAAACCAATTACCCTCCCCTATTCCTCAGAACCACCACCACCACACCCACCACCTCTTGTGGCAGTGGGGATAGCAGCCCATGTTCCCAGAGTTGCTAACTGGTACCAGGAGGGACAGTGGGGATCATGTCCTTCAAAATTTAGGGTTGTACATTTTGGTTGGTCTGGCCCTGAGGGAGTGATACAGGCATGCATCAGTTTCAATACTCTCCACAGCAGTGGGTTTCACTGTAGGTATTTATCAGAACACTAAAGAAGGTAAAACCTTTTTTGTCTCCTTTTCTGGAGCCAGATATCTAAGAAAATCTTTGTCAGGTCACCAGCTAACCACAGAGACAATAGAACAAAAACTGGTGACCATACACAATATGGAATACATACTTTGCAAAAATAGCTCATAAAGTCACAAACAGGTGGCTTCAGCCCTCGACAAGCAAAAAACAGCAATCATTGAGGAGTGGGAGAAACAGATTTATAGAGTTACCATACTATAATAATCAGAGTATCCAGCTGTCAACAACAAAAAATTACAAAACATACAAAGAAACAGGAAAGTATGGCCCATAAACCTAGAAATAGGAATTGGACAAAAATCATCCCTGAGGTAGCCCAAAGTAATTACCAAAGACATTAAACCAATTTCATTAAAAAAAAAAAACAAACTCTAGGAGATTGGGGAAAAAAAAAAAAAAAAAACGATGGACAAAGAACTAAAGGAAATAAAGGGAATAAAGGGGGAAAATGAACAAAATCAGAATTCCAGTAAAGGCAGAAATTATAATAAGCAACGAAACAAATTCTGGAGCTGAAAAACAACTAAAATTAAAAATTCACCAGATGTATTCAACAGCAAATTTGAGCAGGCAGAAGAAAGAACTGGCAAATGTGAAGATAAGAAATTTGGAACTTTCCACTCTCAGTAGTAGAAAGAAAAAAGAATTAAGAAAAAGGAACAGAGCCTGAGGGGCCTGTGAGACACTACTAAGTGTACCAACTATGTACCATAAAAGACCTAGAAGAAGGGAAAGACAAAGAGGCAGAAAAAATACTTGAAGAAATAACCCACTTTGAGAGGCCAAGGAGGGTGGATCACAAGGTCAGGAGATCAAGACCATCCTGGCTAACATGGTGAAACCCCCGTCTCTACTAAAAAATACAAAAAATTAGCCAGGCGAGGTGGCGGGTGCGTGCAGTCCCAGCTACTCCAGAGGCTAAGGCAGGAGAATGGCATGAACCCAGGAGGCGGAGCTTGCAGTAAGCCAAGATCAGGCTCTGTACTCTAGCCTGGGCAACAGAGCGAGACTCTGTCTCAAAAGAAAAAAGAAATAACCAAAAACTTCCCAAATCTGAGGAAAGACATAATCTACACATCCAAGAAACTCAACAAAATTTAAGCAGAATAAACTCAAGGAGGTTCACAATGAGATACATTATAGTCAAACAGCTGAAATTCAAAGACAAAGAGAATTTTGAAAAGTGAGAGGTACCATCAAAACCAGGGGTCCTCAATAAGATTAACAGCTTATTTCTCTTCAGAAACCATGGAGGCCAGAAGATTACATATTTAAAGGTCAGAAAGGGGGAAAAAAAATTGTCCACCAAAAATTCCATATCCAACAAAACTATCCTTCAAGAGTGAAGGAGAGGCCAGGCACAATGGCTCAAGCCTGTAATCCCAGCACTTTGGGAGGCCGAGGCGGGTGGATCACGAGGTCAAGAGATCGAGACCATCCTGGCCAACATGGTGAA